AACATCCTACCTCTTTATATTTATAAAGATATTTATATTTATAAAGAGGTTATTTTAAAATTTACAAATACATCTCATTTTTCATTATTTAAAAATTTACAAATACATCTTATTATTTTTCTTAACTCTCTGAGCAAATCTCTGGGTTAGCCTTTGACCCACAGATTTTATGTGGCAAGAATCAAAGCAAAGCAAACAAAACGAATTCAATTAAGTGGGAGACACTACTATCTCTTAGAGAGGGAGTCTTGCTCTGTCTTAGAGATACCAACAATTTGGCTTTTTTTTTTTTTTTGAGTTGGAGTCTCACTCTGTCACTCAGGTTGGAGTCCAGTGGCACAATCTTGGCTCACTGCAATCTCCGCCTCCCGGGTTCAAGCAATTCTGTGCCTCAGCCTCCCAAGTAGCTGGGATTACAGGTATCCGTCACCATGTCTGGCTAATTTTTGTGTTTTTAGTAGAGATGGGGGGGTTTCACCATCTTGGCCAGGCTGGTCTTGAACTCCTGACCTCGTGATCCACCTGCCTTTGTCTCCCAAAGTGCTGGGATTACAGGCGTGAGCCACCACACCCGGCCCAATTTTGCATTTTTACGATCAGGAATTGGGAACTAAATTGTTTACCTACCACATTTCCTTCAAAAACCCCTGCATTTCAAGATAACAAATACATTAAATTTTGATTGTGAGGTGCTTACCCTAGTTTTTAAAAAAAGTAATATTAAAAAATATATTATTTTGGAGATTTCTCCCTGTTTTAGTACTACAGGGATATTTTTTATAAAAAGAGCTTTTTATAAGGAGGAAAAAATATAAAACTTCATAAATCTAAGCCCTATTGTGGAATTTAGGTAATTTGGGAGACCTTCTCTAGTACACATAAGAAACTAGCTGGCTAAATAAATAATGGAAACAAAATACTTCAGAAGCATGTTTTTTGCAAATGAACAAATTTTATATTCTCAGATCAGGTGTGACAAAATTTCTACTCAGCAACATCCTCTCCAAGTCATTGTTCATGATGCAGAAATTTAGCAGTCTACCGGTAATAAATATTTTAGTCTCTGATTGATTGACTTGCTGTGTAACTTGGAGCCAGCCATTTACTATTCTTGCCATCTGCACATTCCTCACCTCTAAGATGGGAACAATGTTCTCCGTCTAACCCTCAGTAATGGGCAGAAAAAGCTCCACATAGTAAAGCAGTTTGATAATCTAAAACATTATATAGCATGAGGATTATACCTTTGATTACTACCATTGCTTTCAAAATGGTTCCTAAATTTTAGCAGCAATTTTTCAGATAAAATTAGTACAGAGTGGAGAGAAGAAATATTAAAAATATTTCTTGCTTTTAAGCAGGTAGAGTTAACCCTCAGATTGCTGATAGGAGCACAATGCTTCTTCCGTTCTGTCCCTTAATTTCCCCTTCTTATGGTCAAAAGCGTTTCTGATGGTTTACTTGTGCCTCCTCTTCCAATTACTTTCAGTTCATTTCCTAATCTTTCTCACCCAGATTATAGAATAATCCCTATCCCTGCCAAAAACCAAAGAATTCCAATGGAGTAAATTTACATTAGATGTAGTAAAGCCATACAGAAGAACTTAGAATATTTAACTTCATACACAATTTTTACATAAAACACTCAAAAACTAATAAATAAGAGTTAAACATTGTTGGGATTGGTAAAGTAAGAGAGAGCACTCAATATTAACCTGTGGTCTTATGGCTGCTTAACTATTATTCCTAAAAATGGAATTTGCCTAAAACTGAAAAGAGTTGAATACAAGTTTGTGATTTCTTATGATGTTACACCTAAAAGAACTTGCGGGACACAATGGAAAAGACAGCTTTACCAAGATGGTTGCTATTTTTTAAATGAACCACGTGTATTTGTGTAGGGGATCAGAAGAATGGAGACAGGACACAGAAGGGGAAGCAACAGATTTTTAATTTAAAGAAAATCAGAAAAATAACACTGTAAAAAGAATGAAAGTGCGCTTAGTGATATTGCAGCTTCAGTAAAGTGAGAAAAAAGAAAAATAACAAGTAGAGTGTCTAGTCAAGTGTTATAAGGTTCATACCTTGCCAAATGGAGAAGAAGCCAAATTAATTTCCAACATTGTTTCTCCTAAAATGAAAATCTGACAGCTGTAAAATTTCTTTCTTATGAACAAGACAAAGGTCATGACTTACATAACAGCTGCCAAGGACAAAATTTCTATTTTTAGGAAACCTAGCTTTATACTGTTAACGAAGGGTTTTCAAAGTTGCACTAACATAAATTGGTTAAATCAGCTAATGTTTTACATCTAATAATGACATTCCTACCTTGGACCTAGTTTTGCTCCAACATAAAAGACATCTATAGCTGAACAAACTAGAAGAAAACTCATGACCCAGGCAAGATCATAAGTATTACAGTAAAGGTAGGAAAGAAGTACAGCTGATAAAGAAGTGATTGGCGGGGCGCAGTGGCTCACGCCTGTAATCCCAGCACTTTGGGAGGCTGAGGCGGGCAGATCATTTGAGGTCAGGAATTTGAGACCAGCTTGACCTACATAGTGAAATCCTGTCTCTACTAAAATACAAAAATTAGCCGGGTGTGTTGGCGGGCACCTGTAATCCCAGCTACTCGGGAGGCTGAGGTAGGAGAATCGCTTGAACTCAGGAGGCGGAGGTTGCAGTGAGCCGAGGTCACGCCACTACACTCCAGCCTGGGCGACAGAGCAAGACTCCCTCTCAAAAAAAAAAAAAAAAGAAAGAAAGAAAGAAAAGAAAAAAATAATTAATGATGGAATTTTAGAGCTAGAAATATTAAATGTTGCATACTATCAAATGAGAAATTAGAACATAGGCCCTTAAAGAGAAGTGAAAATGAGGAGTGGCAAAATTAGGAATATCTTTGGATTACTTGAGTAAAATATATCCCTTTTGAAGCAAACAATGGTATATGATTGGAAGCCCAGAAGAAACAGAGAATTAAAAAGTCATCCAGACACTGAAAGGTAGAAAATTAAAATTTGTAGCAAAAAAAAAATAATAATAATATAAAATTTGTAGCTATCAATGCGCAAAAAAATATAGTGATGATATCCTGCATAAAAGTCAGCTCTACCATCTCAGGAAGTAATAAAGGAACTCAGTTTCCACTTTATATATATAGGAAAAGCAAGAACATGCCAATAAATCTCAATACATTCTAAGAAAACACACAAATTTAATTTCTGATGAAGGACATACTGACTCTGACTTTCCGAATTGCATTCCAGAGCAATGGATGACATCATTTTCTAAAGCTGTTAAAACTTAGCTCAACATGGAGCATAATTTGATTTGGATAAATGCAGACTCCTTCAGCAATTATGTATTGATTACATTCACTTGGTTGAGTGTGCCACACAACTGGTGTTCAATATACTTATGGGCACGTTTAGGAGCTATGTGCAATAAAATAGTATTCCAATACATGTAGACAGCTACATCAAAATAAACTATGCTGGGACTTAATTGTGAGGCTAACTAGGCAAAGGGCATGAATGAACTCTGTAAGCATGGCTGGGTCGTATATACAGTGGAAATACTTTCCTTAATTATTTCAATCATCCACGCCTTTATAACTTCTTGTATATACTTAACACTAGTTTCAGGGGAATTGAAAGTCTATACAGTATAAGCATTTGATACTTGTTTATTTCCCAGTGGTAAAATACCCTTTGGGTAAGAAAATCAAGTTTCCCTACAGTTCTCAACACAAAGTGGCCTTCATCAGTTTAAATTCTAATTACAATCTAGCATTAAGATTTACTCTCTGGGCCCCAGTGATTCAACTATGATTTCTCAGCTGTCTTCCATTGCTATGAAAGGCCACTACTATATGAACTTATTTCAAAATTCTGTTGACATAAATCTCTATAAAAGATCAAAACTCACAGTTGTATTAAATATAGATAAAAAAGATTTCCATGCATCAAGGTGTGAAATTGAAGGTAATAACTATATATCTATTAAAGGTCGCATACAGCTACTGATTTAGTTGGCATATGCAAAGGAAATGCTATGCCCACTGTCAATGGAAGTTTCATGCAATAAAGTCCCACGTCCCAGATATAAAGTCAATATAATTTTTGTTTTAAAAACTGGTCCAGGGTTATTTTCACACATGCTATTGTGAAATGGTATCAGTAGAAGTCCACTGTAATAATGTTAGAAAGTAGGTTAGTCGTGTGAATTAAATCAGTAGCTTATTTACACAGGGTATGTATTCAATTAAATATGTATTGAGGTTATGTCTTAAGTAAATTACTTATGGATCTCATCTAGTTGAAGTTCTATATTTAATAAATGAAATTATCAACATGCAGACTGAATAACAAAGATGTTGGAATGTTATTTAAGATGTAAACATGTTGCAATAATTTGCCTACAGCTATGCCTTTTCAGATAGCCTCACTTTCCAGTAAGAATGTATTTCAATTATGTTTATGACCTGGTCTATTTGGTACTTTGTAGATGAATTGGAAACAAGAGGTAGGTGAGACTGACAAGCACAAGAAAAAAAAAGGAATTTCAACAATGGCTCAAGAGCCATTAGAAATGGAATTTCAGGCCAGGTAGAGTGGCTCATGCCTATAATCCTTGTACTTTAGGAGGCTGAAGCAGGAGGATCGCTTGGGGCCAAGAGTTTGAGACCAGCCTGGGCAACAGAGCAAGACTCTGTCTCAAAAAAAAAAAAAAAAAGGAATATCAAGTACAGCATGATATTTTGTAGGATTCTGCAATAGGCAGGAATTGGAATTATTCTCTCATTAAAGTTGGTAAGTTTGTAGCATATTATGAACTGAGTGGGCTAATGAGGTCATGTATCAGCGAATTCAATGATCATACTATGAACAAACACAGATTTAAAATCCAATTTAAGTGTTATAAGAGAAGTATAAGAAAAGGTGATCATTACAGTAAAACATAATAGAGGGGTAGAAATAATGTTAGATGACCAGTTTTATGAGAGAAAATGTCATTTCAAACAAATTTATTTCCTTGCTTCATGAGAAAGAGCATTCTAAAAGCGGTGTAGCCAGCATACAATCACAATGCTGCAGAACATCGAATAAGCTTTTAAAAAATCACAGGGCAGAGAATGGGATGGTAAATTGTTAAAATCAGGAAATAGAGTCCAACAAAGTAGGAATCCATTTGGTTCCCACAGTGGGGTAATCAGCTTAGGAAGTCCATTCATGATGTTAACTACAACAATGGAATGGAAACATTTCAGTTGATACTAGATATTTTCAAATACTTGTTTTGGTAAACTGCAACAAGCATCACAAATCCCAACAGTTCCAAAAATTAACATTGATGTTTCAAGTTTAGATTGTTAAGAAATCTATTCAGAGACAGATCAATTTGAATTACTGCATACGTTACCATGGATTATCTTGAAGATAATTTGTTACTTCTTTTAAAAATATTTCTGAGGGCAGTTTTTATTCTTCAAGTTTACTATGTCATAGGTGGTGATTCAAAGAAAAATAAAAGTGATATTTAGATTTTGCAGGCGTTCAATAAGTGTAGACTCGAAGAATGAGTAGATGAGTCGATGCATAAAGAGCCATAAAACTTTATCCATTAAATCTGGTGAAGAAATAATTTCTAGTGGGAGCTAAGGCCTAAAATCTAAAACATAATCTCGCAAGGGTGTATTCCTGATAGTCTAATACTAGTAAATATCTTGTTGAAGCAGCTGAAGCAATAAACAATCACTTATTTATATACTTATATGTATATAAGAAACCTTAGGCTCACAAAAATATACATGTCTTAAAACAGAAATCTAAGGCACACAAAATACTAAAACAAGTCAATGAATTACCCTATTTTACATATTCAACAAGCAGAAATCTACTTGTACACGATGGTCTATCAATGGACATTTTGTTATTTACAATCCCTTCATATTCCTTTACTTGGATTAGTCAAAAGCTCAAAACAGATACTTTGCACCATATATTATTTTAATAAGTTACAATGAGTTTTTCTTTAGAGAGCCTGCTGGAACTGTTTACTTTTGCACCAAAATTGTAAGTGTTAGCGGTTGTGGGCTTCCTATGGCATTTCCAAGGGAGAAGCACCATTAGGTTTTCCATATTCCCAAGGAATCTGACACTTTGAATGTTATAGCACCTCTGCATTTTAACAGAATCAAGTATTTCATTGAAAATTCTCCTTGTTCGAAACATGTTGTCCGGGTAATCCTTTTTGTTTTGCAATAAAATGAGTCAATAAAGTAATAGGAAGAAAATGGGAAGACTAAAATAAACTTAATGCCTACTTTCCTGTTACCTAGAACATAGGCAATTATCAGAAAAGATGAGTTATCATTTTCCCAAATCTAATATGCTAAGATAAACAAATGAATTAGCTCTTAACGGACAAAGCCATGTTTACAGTACCATTCCTCTTGTTTGACTTGGGGTTGGGAGGCATGTGATGATAGTAGGGAATTTGTTTTCAAAATATTTCAACAAGAATTTGTTTTTTCCTAATTCTGTATCAGACTTCAGTACAAAATATCTGTCTACTTAGTTTTTGTACTTTATCACCTTGAGACATTAGAAGCATTTGACTCTTCTGAAACCTATCCTGTACCATCATCTCCTTTTGGAAACACCTCTCATGGATTATACTAAGAAAGGTGGGATGAAACTAAATTGAGGTTGTTCAATAAGAAGAGACCACTCTTACCTAGTTCTAAAAAAAAAAAAAGTTAATCAATATTGGTGATATGCTTCCTAATTCCAATTTTAGAGATAATTAACAACTTCTCATTATCTAACTATTTTATATACTGCAAGTTGCTAATACTTGAATGTGAGAGGACACAGTAAAAGAACACAAACCATATACATGATTAGAATACATACTGCAGTTAACAAGATGGAACTCTACACAGCAAGGATAAATGATTTCTCTTGTATGCAAATATGCACAAACAATAGACAATAGGATTCTTATACTATATTATTTCAAGTTACTTTTAAAAATAGAAAGTGCTTTTAAAATATATATTTACAATTTATGAACAGCCTCCAACCATTACTAACAACAATGATGTATTTTACACAGGAGAAATATTTTAAGAGAGAAAACATTTCATAAGTTTATTTCAAAGGAATATGCCAATTTTCTAGCAATGATTGGAAGATGTTGGAACGATGGCACCATGAAATAATAATTCAGCTTATTTTTAACTGTGTGGATGTGGTTAAGCACCAGAAGCTGTGTAGAGTTAACACTGTGTGTCTTGATTTTACATCATAAAACATGAACCTGTTAAAATCCTCTAAAAATGACTCTTGTTTCATAGTAAACAGACTTAATTTAAAGCACCAAACTGAGTGATTCTATCAAGGTTAATGCCTAACTGAAACATTTCTTTATGTATTTAAAACTATAAAACTTTTATTTTTGCTTAAAATGTGCACCTTCTACCAATTGTCAAAATATAGTCACAGTTAAGAATACCCACCCCGTTTTGTTATCATTATTATTTTTTTACCTCAGACTTGAAATGGGTGAGATGAAGATATAGTAAACGACAACATGACTTTCTTTTAACAGCACCTTGAAAAAATACACTGCACTAGCAAAGGCATTAAGAGGGGGAGAAAAGCCTTCAGACCCAATGGTTATAGGGCCCCGCAACGTGTGTGAGAGCATAAGGGGACACGGTGACAACATTGTCATGGGTTAATGTTAATGCTTTATGAGAAGGAATTTGGTTCAATTCATTTACTTCAGAGGACAGTTCTGGACCTTCATTAGCTGCCTGGTCTTTTTGCTCTGAGGCCTTCATTTTCTTATTCTTAGCTTCTTTAGCCTCAAACTTAATCTTGTTTAGTTCAAAACCGTGTTGGGGCTTATTCAGGTTTTTGTGCTGGTAAAAGACAAGGGAGAGGCGGGTTGGATGATTACGGTTGGGGTGCTCAACAGGAGTGGTAGCGTGCAGCTCGCGCCGGGCACACTCAATCAAAACCGAGCCGTGAGCAGGTGCGATGGCCACCCCACCAATATTTGCATCCAAAAAGATGTGCTCACTGTCTGACCAATACTCATCAATGTGGGGCAACTTCTCCTCAGCAGGTGACAGGGGGTCATCAGATAGGGGTTCGTCTGATGGAGGCTCATCTGCTTCAGAATGCTGCTCATCTTCTTCCATTGGAGAAGAGTCAAGGTCTTGAGGAGAGGTGAGGAAGGAGGGCTGGTGGTTTGGCTGATGAGACGTTAGCGGCTCAGTCACACCAGTGGGAGGCTCAGAATTAACGAGGGGCTCCATCACAGGAGCAGACAGGGTGGGGAGAGGAGCAGCTTCGCCAAGCTGTGAAATGCCAGGGCCTTCAACAGCGGCTGCATTGGCACCACTGAGTCTTCCCGAAGACATTGTACAGTGGGGAGTGCTGCTTCTTTCTGAAAACCCACACGAGGCTGCTGCATCATTCTTCAACGGAGCTGGTGTGGCTGAAGCAGTCTTCGGGGACCAGGAGAAAACTGGAGATGCCTCTTTCACTGGATGAGGAGCGGATGGCATCAGCGAATAAGTTTTAGTGTTGTCTGAACTTTTTAAGATAAAATGGGGTTCGGTTTCACTTTTTACTTCAGGTTGCACAGTCTCAGTTTTACCCCCTAAACAAGGACACCAAACGTGAAGAAAAATACAAATTACTTTTGGTAGGGGTTGTCTTTTAAAAAGTATTTTCAAAGACAGGTACAGAGAATTTTATAAGAAAACACTGATGTTGTGTTGGTCGGTTTTGTTCTGCTCATTTCAAATCACAAACACGAATTAAAAATTTTATGTAGTTTCGTATACTTTTTCATCTAGTAATTTTCCTTAAAGAACTCTTCCTGGCTGGGCGCGGTGGCTCAAGCCTGTAATCCCAGCACTTTGGGAGGCCGAGACGGGCGGATCACGAGGTCAGGAGATCGAGACCATTCTGGCTAACACGGTGAAACCCGGTCTCTACTAAAAAATACAAAAAAACTAGCCGGGCGAGGTGTCGGGCGCCTGTAGTCCCAGCTACTCGGGAGGCTGAGGCAGGAGAATGGCGTGAACCCAGGAGGCGGAGCTTGCAGTGAGCCAAGATCCGGCCAGTGCACTCCAGCCTGGGCGACAGAGCGAGACTCCGTCTCAAAAAAAAAAAAAAAAAAAAAAAAGACTCTTCCTTTGGGAAAGCGAAAAAAAAAAAAAAAAAAAAATAGCCAAAAGGATGGCTGGTCAAAAAAAAAAAAAAAAAAAAATTAGAATTGACCTAATTTGGTAAAAAAAAAAAAAAAAAAAAAAATGTTGTAATATTGTGCAGGAAAAAAAAAAAAAAAAAAAAAAGCAATATTTAACTATTCAAAAAAAAAAAAAAAAAAAAAAAAGGCATAGTATGACCCTACATTAAAAAAAAAAAAAAAAAAAAATAGTTTATAAATATTTCTAGGTAACAAAACCATCATAACTGTCAAAGTCCAAGATTAGGCAGAGAGAAGTCAAGCAAAACATTGTAGTTGAACATAAATCTTTGTGACCCGCAAAAGCAAGAGTATTTCAGCTTAGTGTCCTTCTCAAAAAAAAAAAAAAAAAAAAAACTCAAGATGTCAACTGTGGGTAAAAAAAAAAAAAAAAAAAAAACAAATGTCACATCCAATGGGAAAAAAAAAAAAAAAAAAAAACTCCCTGTTATGAAGTTCTTTAAAAAAAAAAAAAAAAAAAAAGTCTCGATCTGTCGCCCAGGCAAAAAAAAAAAAAAAAAAAAACGGCTCACTGCAATCTCTGCCAAAAAAAAAAAAAAAAAAAAACTATCTCAGCTTCCCAAGTAGAAAAAAAAAAAAAAAAAAAAAGCCACACCTGGCTAATTTTTTAAAAAAAAAAAAAAAAAAAAATTCCCCATGTTGGCCAGAATAAAAAAAAAAAAAAAAAAAAAAGCCTGGCTAATTTTTTGTATTAAAAAAAAAAAAAAAAAAAAACACATTGACCAGGATGGTCTCAAAAAAAAAAAAAAAAAAAAAGCCCGCCTCTGCCTCCCAAAGTGATGGGATTACAGGCGTGAGCCACCACGCCTGGCTCCTGTTAAAAAAAAAAAAAAAAAAAAATTGGAAGTGCAAAACTAGCAAAAAAAAAAAAAAAAAAAAAAAAAAGCAGCCATGTTTTAAAGTAAAAAAAAAAAAAAAAAAAAAATAATATAATAAACATTGATCAAAAAAAAAAAAAAAAAAAAACTCCTCTCAGATGCTACAACCAAAAAAAAAAAAAAAAAAAAATTCTAAAGATAATGCATATATAAAAAAAAAAAAAAAAAAAAAAGGAAACCTCTGCTGTTATCAAAAAAAAAAAAAAAAAAAAAATTAAGAAGTCCACAGAAGGTAAAAAAAAAAAAAAAAAAAAAAAATGACCGAGGGGTAGAATTAAAAAAAAAAAAAAAAAAAAAACCCAAGTATTGCACATTATGCAAAAAAAAAAAAAAAAAAAAACATTTCTTCTCAGTATTTGTCTGTATTACATTTCTTTCAGCATTATATAAATGCCTGCACTGCAAAAAAAAAAAAAAAAAAAAAAACAAATAAACAACTACTCATAAAAAAAAAAAAAAAAAAAAATAAGGAATACATTATAATGTTAAAAAAAAAAAAAAAAAAAAATTCATGTTTTTTTTTGTTCCTTCTATAGGCTCATCAAAGAAACGGCTGATTTTAAATATGGGGCAGAATTATATAGATGAGCCTGGAACAACTTGTTACAGAAGTTAAGAAAGCTATCAAAGACAATTGAGATTGTGGCAAAAGAACAAAAAAAAAAAAAAAAAAAAATGGCTCACACCTGTAATCTCAAAAAAAAAAAAAAAAAAAAAAGGTGGATCATTTGAGGTCAGGAAAAAAAAAAAAAAAAAAAAAACATGGTGAAACCCCATCTCAAAAAAAAAAAAAAAAAAAAAATGGGCATGGTGGCGGGCACCTAAAAAAAAAAAAAAAAAAAAAGCTGAGGAAGGAGAATCACCTAAAAAAAAAAAAAAAAAAAAACAGTGAGCCGAGATGGTACCAAAAAAAAAAAAAAAAAAAAAAAGAGTGAAACTCCGTCTCAAAAAAAAAAAAAAAAAAAAAAAAGATAAGAGCCGGGTGTGGTGCACACCTATACTTCTAGCTAATAGAGAGGTTCCCATGGGATCCAAAAAAAAAAAAAAAAAAAAATGCTATGATTGTGTCTATGAAAAAAAAAAAAAAAAAAAAAAAGGCAACATAGCAAGACTCTGTAAAAAAAAAAAAAAAAAAAAAAATCCAAAACCAAAACTAATGAAAAAAAAAAAAAAAAAAAAAAAGCCAGGCATGATGGCTCATAAAAAAAAAAAAAAAAAAAAAGGAGGATCATGTGAGTCCAGGAAAAAAAAAAAAAAAAAAAAAACAGGTAAAACTCTATCTCTAAAAAAAAAAAAAAAAAAAAAAAGGCACAGTGGCACACGCACTAAAAAAAAAAAAAAAAAAAAAGCTGAGGTGGGAGGACTGCTTAAAAAAAAAAAAAAAAAAAAATGGTGAACAAAGATCACGCCTAAAAAAAAAAAAAAAAAAAAATCTCCACAAACAAAAACAAAAAAAAAAAAAAAAAAAAAAAAATCAAGCCTGTAATCCCAGCACAAAAAAAAAAAAAAAAAAAAAGATCATGAGGTCAGGAGATGGAAAAAAAAAAAAAAAAAAAAATAAAACCCCGTCTCTACTAAAAAAAAAAAAAAAAAAAAAAAACGCCTATAGTCCCAGCTACTCAAAAAAAAAAAAAAAAAAAAAGCTGATATCAGGCCACTGCACAAAAAAAAAAAAAAAAAAAAAAGACTCCGTCTCAAAAAAAACAAAAAAAAAAAAAAAAAAAAACCAAAACAACAACAACAACAAAAAAAAAAAAAAAAAAAAAAACAACAACCCACAACACCACTGAAAAAAAAAAAAAAAAAAAAAATTTGTTTAATTATTGCTTAAAAAAAAAAAAAAAAAAAAAAAGGACGGCATCCAGAAAGTCATAAAAAAAAAAAAAAAAAAAAACAATGAGCAGGGCTTCAAATTAAAAAAAAAAAAAAAAAAAAAAAATGATAAGAACATGTTAAAAAAAAAAAAAAAAAAAAAAAAGTGCCTGCAGTTCCAGCTACTAAAAAAAAAAAAAAAAAAAAATTATTGCTTAAGCCAAGGTGTAAAAAAAAAAAAAAAAAAAAAAAGTGAGACCCTTCCCAATGCAAAAAAAAAAAAAAAAAAAAAGTTTAAAAAAAGATAAGTAGAAAAAATTACCAAGAAATACTGATGGGTCACTTTTTTGTTGACAAAAAAAAAAAAAAAAAAAAAAAATATATTCAGTGTCTTAGTAAAAAAAAAAAAAAAAAAAAATGCAAGGCAAAATCCAAACACAAAAAAAAAAAAAAAAAAAAAAGAGATTAGCAGGTTCCACAAAAAAAAAAAAAAAAAAAAAAAGGCGAAGCCTTACTGTTGTTTAAAAAAAAAAAAAAAAAAAAACGCTTGACTCGGGGAATAGGTAAAAAAAAAAAAAAAAAAAAATTATGCGCAAGAACCTCCGTCAAAAAAAAAAAAAAAAAAAAACCAGAACGGGGAACAGGCTGAAAAAAAAAAAAAAAAAAAAAACGGCGGGGTGCCAGGACCTCGAAAAAAAAAAAAAAAAAAAAAGCTTCCATTCCCTCCTTGGAGAAAAAAAAAAAAAAAAAAAAAAGCTTATAAAGAGGTAGCACAAAAAAAAAAAAAAAAAAAAAAATAACGCCCAAAGAGCGGTTAAAAAAAAAAAAAAAAAAAAAAACCTGATAGGGAGAAAAACATAAAAAAAAAAAAAAAAAAAAACCATGCACGTTCATTGTGGCTATTCCTACCTTCGTTTTGTTACCTTTGGGAAAGAGATTTGTAAAAAAAAAAAAAAAAAAAAAAGTTGATGATGGTATATTATTAAAAAAAAAAAAAAAAAAAAAATCTGTTCAATCATAGTAACTTAAAAAAAAAAAAAAAAAAAAACAGAGTAATATTTAGTTAATTTTCTAAGTAAATTATTATATTACAAAATACTTACCTATTTTTAAAAAAAAAAAAAAAAAAAAAATTTCATCTTACTTCATTGCCTAAATTAAGGAATGGCTATTGAACTGTGTTTATTGTGTTCATATTAACTTTTTTTTTTTTTTGAGACGGAGTCTTGCTCTGTCTAAAAAAAAAAAAAAAAAAAAATCGATCTCCACTCACTGCAAGAAAAAAAAAAAAAAAAAAAAACATTCTCCTGCCTCAGCCTCCAAAAAAAAAAAAAAAAAAAAAACCGGCCACCGCGCCCGGCTAAAAAAAAAAAAAAAAAAAAAAAGAGACGGGGTTTCACCGTGTAAAAAAAAAAAAAAAAAAAAACCTGACCTCGTGATCCGCCCAAAAAAAAAAAAAAAAAAAAAAGGATTACAGGCATGAGCCACCAAAAAAAAAAAAAAAAAAAAATAACTTATTAGGAAGATACGATTTTAGCTCACAGAGCACCCTATTTCTGGTATTTCAAGAATGAAAAAAAAAAAAAAAAAAAAAGACATAACTGATTTCTCTTTCAAAAAAAAAAAAAAAAAAAAAAGTTTAAAAAAATGTTTTTAAAAAAAAAAAAAAAAAAAAAAATATTCCAGTGAGGAGCCATATAAAAAAAAAAAAAAAAAAAAACCTTTCTTTGGATATGAAATATTAATAGCCAATTTTTTAATCTTAAATGCAACCCATTTTAGCAAAAAAAAAAAAAAAAAAAAATATATTTATTATAGAGAAACGAAAATACAGAACTATAGACACTATAGTGATTCCTGACTTTTGATACCTAATATTAATATTCTGCTTTAAAAACTAACATTTTATTATAAAACTATTTTAATTGTAATTAATTTTCCTTAAGTGATCTGCCCACCTCGGCCTCCCAGAGAGCTGGGATTACAGGTGTGAGCCACTAGGCCCAGCTAAATTAATTTTCAAATATTAAAAATCCAGCAGAGGCCGGGCGCGGTGGCTCAAGCCTGTAATCCCAGCACTTTGGGAGGCCGAGACGGACGGATCACGAGGTCAGGAGATCGAGACCATCCTGGCTAACACGGTGAAACCCCGTCTCTACTAAAAATACAAAAAAACTAGCCGGGCGAGGTGGCGGGCGCCTGTAGTCCCAGCTACTCCGGAGGCTGAGGCAGGAGAATGGCGCAAACCCGGGAGGCGGAGCTTGCAGTGAGCTGAGATCCGGCCACTGCACTCCAGCCCGGGCTACAGAGCAAGACTCCGTCTCAAAAAAAAAAAAAAAAAAAAATCCAGCAGAAACCTATCAAATGTTTTCTTTATTTTATATTAAAAACACATATCCTGGAGCTATAAAACCTTTCAATGATAGCAAAGACTGGAGATAAATGAAATAAACAGATTTGATTTCCAAAGCATTTTTGGATTCATGATAGAACTTGATAGATACCAAGGTAAAGCAAAGTTAAAGGTTAAAAAATTTCAGTTTTTTTTTAAAAAAAATATCCATAGTCACATTTTTCAGCAAAGTCTAAAATATAAATATATGTTTTAGCCTCAAACTCCTGGGTTTGAGTGTTTCTCCTGCCTCAGTCTCTCGAGTAGCTGGGAATACAGGTGTGTATCATCGTGCATAGCTAATTTTTTTTTTTTTTTAATTGTAGAGACAGGGTCTCACAAAGCTGCCCAGGCTACACTCAAGATCCTGGATTCAAGCAATCCTTCCACCTCAGCATCCCAAAGTGCTGGGATTACAGGCATGAAGGCATGAGCCATGGTGCCTGGCCAAAGCCTGCAATATTAAACTGTCATGGTAGTAATCTGTTCATACTTAATAACAGTCATGCTGAAAATCAGAATGTCACATCAATAAATGTTTACTGGAACCAATTTAATTGGCCACAGAGAGACTAAGAAGCACATAAGGAGCTGACATAAGGAGCATAATTAGAAAGGATAGTTACCACAGGAGTAGAAAGTAAACCAATTTAAAAAAAAAGAAAAAGAAAGAAAGAAAGTATGGTAAAACAGGGTGAAGGGAGAGGGAGTGGTAGAATTTCAAGAGTTCACATGTTTGAAGATGGGGGAATTTGGAGTGATGTCAAGTTCTGGATAAGACCCTCATTGCGTGAGTAATCCAGGCACTGGAAGTCAAAGGGCACAGAGAGGAGAAACTGAAACTTAGCTTGACTCTGAACTGACTTCAACCTGATCACAGATATTCTGTAATTCAGGTAAAATGTCCCGGCCAAGTGATGGTGATGAACCACTGCCTGGTTCATATTTACCAGGCTGGATTTACATAACTTCAACACTTGGAAATAACATTGGTCTCAAAGATCTACAAAACATTTTTGTATACAGAAATGATATGTAAAAAAAAAAAAAGGAAAAAGAAAAAAAAAAAAGGTTATTGTGGCTTAATCTATCACTAATACTCTTCTACAGACCAAGCAAGGAAGAAAGACTGCCTGTTGATAGATCCAATCATATACTTTCAATCACACTATAAGATGTTATAGCTAAATCTAAAAAAAAAAAAATTTTTTTTTAAATTGTATATTTTAAAGAGACGGGGTCTTATTGCCTAGGCTGGTCTAGAACTCCCGGGGCTCAAGCAATCCTCCTATCTTGGCCTCCTAAGTAGGTGGGATTACAGACGTGAGCCAACATGCTCATCCTGCAGCCAAGACTTAATGAAGGTTTCAGAATTATCTGGCAAACCTAAAACACTGGTGCAGCAGAAAAAAGCAGTTGCTCTCTATCGATCTCGCTTTACTAGATGACAGGAAGATAATTAGGTGAAGCAAACAGACAAAAAGACTATTACAAGATTTTCCACTGGGTCTTCTGCCTAATTTACGTATTTCTTAATTGACTTCAGGCGATGGACATGTGATGATTTATGTAACTATAAACATAGTAGGCATACCTGAATGCAAATATTGATGATAACTGGCATAGTTGCCCCACAAAAACCCTGAAGTGCAGATGGCAAAAGCAAATATTAAGTAACCTGCTCAACTTCATACCTACTAGTTTGATAGCAGAGAATTGTTACTTTAAAAAATTGGCTGGTCGCGGTGGCTCACACCTGTAATCCCAGCACTTTGGGAGACCAAGGCGGGTGGATCATGAGGTTATGAGAACAAGACCATCCTGGCTAATACAGTGAAATCCCGTCTCTACTAAAAATACAAAAAATCGGCCGGGCATGGTGGTGAGCGCCTGTAGCCAGCTACTCGGGAGGCTAAAGCAGGAGAATGGTGTGAACCCAGGAGGCAGAGGTTGCAGTGAGCTGAGATTGCGCCACTGTACTCCAGCCCGGGCAACAGAGTGAGACTCCATCTCAAAAAAAAAAAAAACAAAAAAGTACTCCTGCCTCCCAGCAAACACACCACAATTAAATATATAACATAGCCTTCCAACAAAATGTTTGAGGCTGGTCCTGTTACTTTTTAGAAGTACAGAGATAATGTATTTAATGAAGACCTGCACTATACACTTATTTCTTATTTTTTAACTTTTTTTCTTTTTATTTATTTCTAATAGCACATAAATTAAGATTTCTCACAGTAATAATCATCATAGTATACTTAAGGACTGCAGCCTAAGCATATAGTGATGGAGCTTTTAGAATACAAATTCACACAGGTACATACCACAGTGCTCCCATTATTCATGTTGTGAATGTCCCTGTGGGGATGAGCACAGAAGTCCAGGCAAGCAGTGACCCCAGAGAAGGGACGACCTTCCTTACTGCCAAGCCGACATTCTCGGGCAACATTTTCATATTCCACCTAGAAAAGAAAGCATGGAGCACAATCTTAAGAGAGAGAAGGGAATCACCTGCCTTCAGTAAAGAGTAAGAGTAAAAATAATTTCCTCACAAAGTTTCTAATTAATTATACTTTGTAATTTCTGAGACTAAGTGTATTATTGTCGTGAAGGTGTAGTTTAGCAACATTCAGGATAAAGCACTTGACAATACACGGAGTAAAAGGAAAATCAATGACTTTACAAGGGAAGGCAGGGTGAGGATACTAATTGTTGTTGGAGATGAAAAAGCAAGTAAAACAGACTCAATCATTCCATTAGAAAGAAAGACCAATAAGGCCGGGCACAGTGGCTCACGCCTGTAATCCCAGCATTTTGGGAGGCCAAGGCAGGCAGATCATGAGGTCAGGAGATTGAGACCATCCTGGCTAACACGGTGAAACCCCATCTCTACTAAACAAAATACAAAAAATTAGCCGGGCGTGGTGGCGGGCACCTGTAGTCCCAGCTACTCAGGAGAGGCCGAGATAGGAGAATGGTGTGAACCCGGGAGGCAGAGCTTGCGGTGAGCCAAGATCGCGCCACTGCACTCCAGCCTGGGTGACAGAGCGAGACTCCGTCTAAAAAAAAAAAAAAAAAAAAAAAAAAAAAAAAAAAAAAAAAAAAAAAAAAAGTAGCCGGGCGAGGTGGCGGGCGCCTGTAGTCCCAGCTACTCGGGAGGCTGAGGCAGGAGAATGGCGGGAACCCGGGAGGCGGAGCTTGCAGTGAGCCGAGATCCGGTCACTGCGCCCCAGCCTGGGCGACAGAGCAAGACTCCGTCTCAAAAAAAATAAAAATTTAAAAAAAAAAAAAAAGAAAAGGTAGAGGCTGGGTGGGGTAGCTCACGCCTGTAATCCCAGCAGTTTGGGAGGCTGAGGTGGGCAGATCACTTGAGGCCGGCAGATGACTTGAGGCCAGGAGTTTGAGACCAGCCTGGGAAACATGGTGAAACCCCATCTCTACTAAAAATACAAAAATTAGCCAGGTGGCGCATGCCTGTAGTCCCAGTTACTCAGGAGGCTGAGGCAGGAGAACTGCTTGAACCCACTGGGAAGCGGAGGTTGCAGTGAGCCAAGAGGCTGACTCCAGCCTGGGCAACAAGAGCAAGATTCTGTGTCAAAAAAAAAAAAAAAAAAAAAGAGTAGATCAATAAGTCCATTATATATATGTATGTTAGATATATATGCTATGTATGTATATATTTGTTCAAATTTGAAAATTTTTCTATTAACAATGACCTTTTTTTTTTTTTTAAAGACAGTTTCGCTCTGTCACCCAGGTTGGAGTGCAGTGGCATGATCTCAGCTCAATGCAACCTCCGCCTCCTGGGTTCAAGTGATTCTCCTGCCTCAGCCTCTTGATTACCTGGGACTACAGGTGCACATCACCATGCCTGGCTAATTTTTGGTATTTTTAGTTGAGATGGGGTTTCACCATGTGGGCCAGGCTAGTCTCGAACTCCTGATCTCAGGTGATCCGAATGCCTTGGCCTCCAAAATTTCTGGGATTAGAGGCGTGAGCTAATGAGCCCGGCTAACAATGACTTTTTAAAATATAAAACAGTCTGGCATATCTGTAATCCCAGCATTTTTGGAGGATGAGGCAGGAGGATCGCCTGGAGTTTGAGCTTAGGAGTTTGCAGTAAGCTTTGATCATGTCACTGTACTGCTGCCTGGGCAACAAAGCAAGACCCCATCTCAAATTAATAAATAAATAAAAAGTTCATACCAATACATACCTGATTTTGGTAAGCTACTGGAGCATACTGCTTATAAATTGGAGCTAATCGTGTAGCCAAACTCTGTAAGTTATCTTCAAGGTTTTTTTCCTATAGGGAAACATAATCCATTAGTTATTTTATAATTGCACCTTTGTGTGTTTAAGGTACAACTGAACCATAAATCATGGGTGATGGTGGTTAATGCACAATTCATTCTTACCCTGATGAAATAGCTACCACAGAAAATCGCATTGCTTCTTTTCTCCATCTAAACTATTAGACATTGTTATGTTTTAATGAAGTCTTTTGAAATGAAAATTCTGTTGTAATTAGAAATTTAAATAGTGTTAGAGATAAATTACAATACTGTTCATGTTGTGAAAAATAAATATTTATATTTATTCAATAGTATTGGGCACTTGGAATAAATGAAAACAACGTTCCTGCTGGCAAGGGGAAATGGCAAGTAATTTGGTTACAATGTTAAGAATTTTCTATAACGAGAAGAGAGAGTACATATATAAAACACCTACTTTGTGTGACATACTGTTTCAAATGGAATCCATATGTCTTTATGAATTAAGCACATGTCCTTATGGACCATGAAATAGGAATATTATGCATGATCTCTACAAAAGAGCAAGGTCAGGATAACTGAGAGGTTTAGTAAATGCCTGCAGATCAAAGGAAGTAAGTGGGCAAGTGGTTGTCTACAGTTCTCTTTTCTACACTACAATAACTACAAATTGAAGAAGACTTGGAAGGACTATGAGGACCATTAACACTCAAGAAATCTGGATTGCTATTGATAGAGACATCAGATTTTTTCAAAGGAAAACTATCACAAAAGTCTCTATTAAAAAAATCCATGATGACAGTATGAGAAATGAAACAGAGAAGGGAGCCTTTGGAAACACAGATAGTTGAAAGAATACTGAAAGTGTTTCAGAAATGATTATATTCTGCATCAACTTAGATATCTGGTAAAGGAACAGTCACCTCTTAGGAAATCAATTGGAAGGGTATAGAGGGCCAGGCGTGGTGGCTAACGCCTGTAATTCCAACATTGTGAGAGGCCAAGGTGGGTAGATCACTTGAGCTCAAGAATTTGAGACCAGTCTGGGGAACTTGGTGAAACCCCACACCTCTCCAAGAAGTCAAAAAAATTAGCCAGTCGTGTTGGAGCCTACTTGTAGTCCCAGCTACTTGGGAGGCTGAGATGGGAAGGTTGCTTGAACCTGGGAGGCAGAAGTGGCAGTGAGATGAGATCATACCACTGCACTCCAGCCTGGGTGACAGGGCCAGATCTTGTCTAAAAAAAAAACAAAGTATAGAGAACATGGACTAAAAAGTGTGAGTGAGGCTTTTGCCTCATGTGCTCATGTGAGATTTGGTGGAAGGAGATGCCATCAACACAGAAAGGAGACCATTATATGAATCAATTAACCTTTGGTATGCATCAAATTATTATAAAAGTCAAAATTATACAATAATTTAGACACAACAGTTCAATTATTTAGTGGTTTCTGACAACCCTCAATCTTAGCAACTGTAAAGTGTGACTCATAATCATTTTGGTTTCCTATTGATTTATATTGACTTGATTATACAAAAAAATTCATAGGATCCATTCACAGATTTGTCTGTTAATCAGGCTACTTTTATCCTACCCATTGTAGTTTAAAAACCAAGAAAGTCAGCTGGGCACAGTGGCTCATGCCTGTAATCCCGGCACTTTGGGAGGCTGAAGTGGGCGAATCACCTGAGGTCAGAAGTTCGAGACCAGCCTGGCCAACATGGTGAAACCCAGCCTTTACTAAAAATACAAAAATTAGCAAGGTGTGGTGGCATGTTCCTGTAGTCCCAGATATTTGGGATGCTGAGGCAGGAGAATCTATTGAATCTGAGAGGTAGAGACTGCAGTGAGCCGAGATCATGGCATTGCACTCCAGCCTGGGAGAAAGAGGCAG